TTTAGTATTATGGTCTAGTTGTATTCCTCTTTAGTTGTAAGTACGAAGTGTTAAGTTCGATTCTCGTCAAATGTGGATTTGAATCATATTATTATGGCTGGTTCATTGTAAGACTTAGAAGGGTGTATTCAATTGAGAATTTGAGATATTTTAATGGATTTTTATGGAGTTTAACTAATTTGTAGAGATTCTATGTAAAATTTTGATTCAATTCCTTAGAAATCTCATGGGGAGAGGTGAGATTTGTGGATGCTTAAAATACACTACTAAATCTCTCTAATTCCCTCAATTCCTCAACTTTTCCAAATTCTTTAAATTTAAATTCTAATTGAATACCCCTAAGGCCATCTCCAACCGATGGCTGGCCAGATGGCTCGTTTTAGCCATCTAGCCCTCAAAGATCCTCCAAGCTATTAATATTTTAATGAATAGTACAGGGTTATATTTGCATCCGTCTCCAACCGAGGGCCAGAGGGCCAAAGGGCTCGTTTTAGCCCTGTCACAAAAAACCTTCTCCAACCGAGGGCCAAAGGGCCATAGGGCCAAACATAATTTATTATTTAAAAACTACAACTTCAATTTAAATCCAACGGCTAAGTGACGTCAGCTAGCCGTTAGATTTGAATTTTTTTTTTTTTTGCTATAAATAAGGTGGATATTGGGATATAATTTACACAACTTTGATTTCAATCTATTTCAATTCCATCTTTTTCAATTCAAGTTTGCAATGAATTCCAACTTTGGATCCTCTTTAGATTCCAATTGGGGGTCCTCATCCAATTCCAAAAGAGAATCAAAATGGGCGCAAATGAGACGAAAAGATGAGGAGTCTGATGAAGAAGTTCAAGTAAGGCGCAACAAACAAAACAGAGTAGCAGCCATGGCTGCGGCCATGGTGTGTCAACCAACTGAGGAACAACCTCAATGGGGTGGCTCTATTGCTGGTCGCTCTTACAAACCATGAAACAGAGCGATGACGCATGCCAATCTAATGAACAACTACTTCGACCCCAACTCAGTGTACACAGAAGAGGATTTCAGACGTCGCTTCCGGATGAGGTGTCATGTCTTTGAGCGTTTAATTTGTTATGTCCAGCAGGTCAATCCGTACTTTTGACAGAAGCAGGACAGAGCAGGCCGTCCTAGTTTGGCACCTCATCAAAAGGTTAATGTTGCACTCCGAATGATGGCCTATGGCTCCCTAGTTGATTCGATGGATGAAACCCATGGTATGTCTGAGTCTACATGCCTTGATACTCTTGAAGAATTTTGTGACACAATTGTTCAGGTTTACAAAGACGAGTACCTCCACGAGCCAAATCAAGAAGATCTGAATCGGCTCCTTCACAAAGCTGAAGACCGTGGGTTTCCGGGCATGATAGGGTCATTAGACTGCATGCATTGGGATTGGAAGAACTGTCCCACCGGATGGCAATGAGGCTTTAGCAGAAGTCGAGAAAGCCAACTGTTGTGTTAGAGGCGGTTGCCTCATATGACACATGGATCTGGCATGCTTTCTTTGGAGTCCCTAGATCCCAAAATGACATTACAGTTCTTGGGCGTTCACCCCTCTTCAATAACTTGACGGAAGGTAAAGCACCTCAACTTGACTACTACATCAACGACCGTCAATACAATATGGGGTATTACTTGGCAAATGGCATCTACCCAAAGTGGGCAACACTTGTCCAAGCAATTCCAAACCCTAGGAATGACATGGAAAAGTTTTTTACCTTACACCAAGAGGCATATCGGAAAGATGTTGAGAGAGCTTTTGGTATTCTACAAGCACGGTGGAAGATCATCATCGAACCGGCAAGAGGGTGGAGTCGAGAAAATTTGGACTCCATCATGATATCTTGCATCATATTACACAATATGATAGTGGAGGATGAGCGAGATGGATATATTGATGGAGAGTTCGATGAAGACCAAAAAGATCCAAATAGGTCAAGAAGGGCTTGTGCAAAAATATATGATGAGCCTAATTTGCCTTTCAATCCAAGAACTGGTAGTATCTCTATAAATGAGTACATGAGGCGCTATAGAATGATACGTTCTCGTACCACAAACAAGTACCTACAACAAGGTCTTGTTGCACATCTTTGGGCCCAAAGAAGCATGGAGTAGGCATTTACGTTTTATGTTTTTAAAAATGTTGTTTAAGTTTCATGTTGTATAATTTTTATGTTGGTTAATGTTATTTAATGTTGTTTCATATTGTTTAATGTTGTTTCATGTTACTTAATTTAATTTAATGTTGTATAATGGCTTAGGAAGTTATAGGAAAAAAAAATATGAAACAAATTTTGTGAAATAGAAGTTATGGGAAAAAAATGGAATTTAAAAAAAATATGAAACAAATTTTGTGAAATAGAAGTTATATGAAAAAAATGGAATTTAAAAAAAATGAAACAAATTTGGTAAAATAGAAGTTATACGAAAAAAAATATGAACCAAAATTTGTAAAATATAAGTTATAGAAAAAAAGTTATAGGAAGTTATAGAAAAAAAAGGGGTGTGTGGATATTCTTAATTTGTAAAATACGCCATTTTTTCTCTATTTTTCTTTCCCGACTACAACTTGTTTGGTTGCCGAGCAAAGTCAAGGAAATTCTTGTTTCTCTCCTTTTCCCATGAAGCAGCGAAAAGCTTCCATTAATTGTGATAACCCTGATGACTAGTGAATATATGTAATCCTACTTTCCCTGTCAACTGGAAACAAAACCATGATATGAGGTTTCGGATGTTGTGAATATTCTTCTGCATAGTCCATTATGAATCCTAGAACGTCACAACCCTTGGTTTTGTACCTTTATGAATCCTAAAACGCCATAACTCTTGGCTTTGTACCATGTATTCCGTTAGCTCCAAATATTTCGTATCTTTTCTTAAATCTCTTTTCAAGTCTTCCTAGAGTTTATGGTTTAGGGTTCACATTTGTAGGCTATAAGCCACGGACGGAGCTAACTTGCGCTAGGGGGGCAGATACGCGTGCTCAATTTTTTCGTAGAAAAAAATGTCCATGCTTGTGACATAAGTAAGGTGTATCACTAGTTAACTTGCTTGTGATATTAGCATTTTTTTTAGTACATTGATATTTTTACACTAAGGGGAGGGGGAGGGGGAGTTAACTCTTTCAATTGCTACTGTCAACGTTGAAAGAGCATGTTCGTCCATGAAATTTTTGAAGAATCGATTGAGAAGTCGGATGGGAGATCAATGGATGAATGATAACATGATTATTTTTATAGAGAGATATTTGATGGTATTGGTAATGAAGTTGTCATGATATTTGATGGTATTAGTAAATACTTTAGCCTTTTAATTGTGACTCTTGTTTGAGGATGCCCCCATCCGTACAAATCTCTGGCTTCGCTCCTGCTATAAGCTATCCATGGATAGACACAAAGAAAAGATGAAACAGTCTGTGAACTGAGTTATGTCTAACATACACAGTTTAGCATATTCTCTTGCAAACAGTTTTGACAATTTTATGTTCAGCCCAAACTTACATTTGTATTCCTTTTTCAGTTAATTGCGCTCCGAAAGTGAAATGCCATCGATGTATCACCATACTAGAGCAGTATTGTATGCACTGAAAGACAAAAGGAATCGACCTCGCCATTGCTTCGAGGTCACCAACTGTTGGATATAGCAAAGACATTTTTTGAAAAATTGAACATCGAGTCAATGTTCGTTGCCCAGGTGATGCTTCAGAGCACAATGCCTTTTTCTTCCTTCAGTTTCAATTGGGATTAAGAGAGCTGCCAAAGATGTGCTGACTGTAACACTTCATCGATTGAGTTTTATTTGTGACTCTGAATTGCCGTTTATACAGGAGATTTTTCGGAGTTGGACGCACAAGACAAATCATTTTCAGCGAATTCATACGAGGACTGGGGTCCCCTTCAACTCAATTCTTTTCTTTGATGAGGAAAATAGGAACGTCCAAGCGGTAAGATCATGCCTTCCATTTCTTCTGTTGCAGTTGTTCTTATTGCTATCGTTACGATTACCTTTCGGATTTGTGTTATCAACTTTTGAATTATTATATTTCTCACCATCATGAAAATAAATATGAATAAATCATCTGTTGACCCTTGATCGTTTCCAAATACATGACTTTTGCCTAAAATATTTTAATTTAAAAATAATGAAGAAAAATTGTGTGAATTATTTGCTAGTGTTTAAGAACTTATCAGAAATCACTGTTTATCTATACAACGTGTGACAGAAGTGTTACTTCGCATCAAGTCTCCGTGCCAAGAGATTTTATTTTTATACTCTCAGTCTCACCCATTTATCAAAACATTTTGATGGTGTTTACAGGTTTCAAAGATGGGCATAACAAGCATTTTGGTGTTCAATGGGGTAAATGTTGCAGCGTTGAGGCAGGGTCTTACAAATTACGCCGAAATGTGAATACATATGAGCGGAACATGCAGAAATGGCGCACAATGTACTCCAAAAGTTCAAGCTCATCTGAGAAGAATGAAAAGGAATGAATCTTCCATAGATGTTGAAATACGTACAACTTGAAACTTATTGGTGCGGTTCCCTGTATTGTCGGGGATTGTTCTACGACAACCCCTATGCCGGTTATGGCGATGATTTGTTATATCAATTACCAAGAAACGCCCTAGACGGCTAGAGCACTCCCATCTCGCCGTCTCCTTCATGTGTATTGTAAGCTGGATGTTCAGGAAACGGTATCAGTCAACCAAGTAGAAATTTGATGTTATTATGAAGTAGTAATTTTCTATGCCATATATGAGTTTTGAGTAGATTTTGGGTCCCAAAGTGATCCCTCTGTGTTGTTCTTGTAGTAGCAGCTTCAAGGTTTTTGGGCATATTCCGAAGAAATATAATTTCTCAGACTGAGCTAATAATCGTTTAATCTTCTTGCATTCGAAATCATCGTTGTGATTACGCTGAATCTTTGATTCCAAACTACAGTATATCTCCATTACATTATCAAATAACAGCTGCTCAACTACTACTTGCAACATTTTTAATTTTTTTTAACAACTGAAATTTACAATTTTCAACAACACAAGGATTTTATAGGGATGATTGCATTTGGGAACTGAATTTCAAGTGCATGTTTCGTCACAGCTCAGTCTCATACAAAGGAAAAATTATAAGAGCTTCGTGGTAACTCACAAAACAACACACAGCAGTAAATACAAAATATTTGTTTGCCCTTGCCATTTGCTAACTGGTTCAAGCTCGATACGGTCTCAAACCCTTTTCTTCGATTCTGGCACCTCTACACAAACAAAAACATTACATTACGGTCAAATTTCCCACAAATATTGAATGCATGAATGAGACTGTATTTCTAGAGATTATATACAATATGCCTCCTACATCTAGCAATTCGCTATTGCATACAGAAATTTCTTGTTCAGAATCAGAAAATTTGCAAAAGCATTTCACAACATTATAGCACTTAGGAAGAGCTTTTTATTTTATGAGAAACAAATAAAATACTGAAACAACTATCTTTTAACTCCAAAGCGTAATCTTTTGAATTACCTCGTGTCATATTCTTAAGTGAAAACTCGTATTCCTTCTCTTAGTTACAAACTCCTGCTGATTCATTTCTTTCAGTGGTGATCTTCCAGTAATACATGCTTCAAGTTTTCTTGCTGAGGTTGAAATAGAATTGTTTTCATTCTCTTGGGTAGAATCATAGAGCTCATTATCCACTTTCAAATTCATTGCTGGTTTCACCTCTTCCTTGCACGTTTGCAATATTGTATCCAAAAGATTCATCATCTCCACATCCTCACAAGTGAAGTCCCCCATGCGATCACAGAATTCTTCGAAGTGAACAAGAACGTGCTCCCTATCTTTTGATAGACTTGCGGTGTCTTGAAAGAGAACCTGTTTTTCAAACTCAAGTTGCTTGTTTATGCCTTCCAGTCTCCTCTGTTCACCCATCAGTTTGTCATTTTCCAGTTTATTGGCTTCCAATAATGCTTGAAGTCCATCTGCTTGTCGTTTTTCAGTAAACAAGGCTTCCTCCTGATTTTTCAAACTTTTTCGCAAACCAGATACTTCCTTTTCCAACTCAACAAGTCTCATGTTCTTCTCTTCAATCTCTAGCTCTGTCATATGTTTGGCCTTCTTCAAAGCTTCAGTAAGCTTTTCAATTGTAACCAAATTTTCTACAACTTCTGAGAAGGACGATATAAATGCACTTGTCAAGTCTTGCTCTAATGATGATGCCAGTACTTGAAGATTCTTTATTTCCTCATCTTTCTCATTTATAACCTTGAAAAGCTTGTCTTTCTCTAGTCCAACGGTTTTCTCTGCATCTATGCTTGCAAAAATTGCTGCTTCCACTTCTCTTGTCATGGCCTCTTGCTCCATCTGCATGATATCATTTTGGAGTTTTTCTATGCAGCTATCCTTCTCCTGTGCATTTTTCATAAGGTTCTCTGTGATTTCTGGGATGAATTCCACTTCCTCATTCTTTGCTGCTGCAACTGTAGCTTCTAGAAGGACAATCTTCTGCTGCAGAACTTCCCTTTTTTTAGTTTCCTCTTTGATAATGGTGATGAGGCGGTCTTTCTCATGCTTAAGGGTTTCTTCATACTCAGCTTGTGCAAGAAGTGAATCCTCCATTTGTCTACATTTTTCTTGATTTCCTTGCCAGCACACTTTCAATCTTTCAGCTCGAGATTTCCAATTCTGTAATTCAAATTCTAGCTGACTTGCTTCACAAACTTCCTCAGTCAATTCAAGATTTGCCTTTTCTAAAGCCAAAGATACTTCTCGTTTCTCCACTTCCATCTGCACAAATTGTTCTTTCATGTAAAGTTGATGCACAGATGATTCCTCAAGCATCTCTTTAAGTCGTTGAACCTCTTCCTCCATGATAACCTGCTGCTGTTCAGCGAGCTCCAAGGACCTTCCCCTCTTCATTAGCATTTCTGCTTTGATGTGCTCTTGTTCAAGCTTAAGATGAGCATTTCTTAAATCACTGTTCTTCATCTCCAACTCTGTTTGAAGTAGAGAGATCTTGTCATCCATTCTATTACACAGCTCCATCTCAGTGTTTTCATCAGATTTGTTGGAGTAAGCCTCTGAGAGTTCTGATTTAAAGATCGTAAATAGTACTGAAATCTCTAAATTTAAAACGTCGATCACTGAATGGCAGCTTTTTAGCTCCATCTGAAGCTTCTGTATTTGCTCCTCTCTATCCTTCAATTCAAAATTGTGCCTGTTTACATCTCCTTTCATCTTCTCTATTAGGAGACTCACTTCAGATTCTTTTGCTTTCAGATTTGTGGAACAGTTGCTATGTGTCTGCTCCATGCCCCTAAGCTTGTTTCGCAACTTTGTTAGAGAAGCTGGGGCACAATTTCTGATTTGAGCTTCCTGCAGTTCTTTTATAGATTCTCTCAATTCCCGATTCTCTCGCTCAAGGTGAACAATTCTAAATTCCGTTTCTTTGGAGAGTGATTCTTTTGTTGACAATGAGTTTCTTAGCTTAGCAATCTCTTCATCCCTTTGAACAGTCAAGCTATCAAACTTTGACCTTTCTTCTTCACACTGGGCAAACACATTCTCGTAACGTGATCTGAATTCAGACACTTCAACCTCCAAAAACTTCCTCTTGCTTTCTTCATGAGCTAAAGCATGGTTGCACATTTCCAAACGTTTTTGAACGCCTTCAAGAATTCTAGTTTGGGAATCCAAGTTTGTCTGCAACAAAGAGATCTCTTCAAGCAGTGCTGATTTTTCCCTCTCCCACTCCTCTTTACCCAACTGGAACTCAGCTCGGAGCCGTCTATGTGCTTCTTCAAGATGTGTAAACTGTTCTTTTTTCCATTTCAGCTGATCTCGAGCATTTCTATTTTCCTCCTCTAACCCCATTATGACGTCATCTCTTTGTCTCAGTTCTTTGGCTTCACGAGCGTTCTGCTCTGCCTCGAAACACTTCCTCTCTATAGTCGATAAGAGTCTTTTAAGGCCCTCAATCTCTTTAGTACTAGCACCAAAATTCTGCTCCAACTCTATGTTTCTCTCAGTAGCTTCATCTAAGGCAGATACTAACTCTCTATTTTCCCCTTCCAATTCTAGCAATTTCTTCTCACTATCAGCTCGGAGTTTTTCATGCAAAGTAGTCAAATGCCTAAGCAACGATTCTTTTTCAAGCAAACGAGACTGGAGGGTTTCAGAAGCCTGCCTTAATTGAGAAATTTCCTCAAGCTTGACATTTAGTTCTTGAGCTTGTTTCTCATTCTCCCGCTTCGCTTCTTGAAACTTAATCAACTGCTCATTGTGAGCTTTCTTCAAAGCATCAGAGAGTTCAGTCTTAACCCGGACTTCAGTCTTAAGCCTCTCCACCTCTGCTTTAGCTTCGTCTAGTTCTTCATATACGTCCTCCATTTCCCTTTATCATCAACTTGTGAGAGGCTCTAATGCAGTAAAGATCTGAAGCATGAAGAAACACGTTAACGTGAGCATTTTCATATAGAAAACTGAAAACAACCAACCACATAGACAGATGCATGAGAAGAAAAAGCGCGGTTTGAAGTATTTAAGACTATGAATTCCATGAGTATTATGTGCCTTTGGTAATCCCACATCTGCAGTGTATGGGATTAGTTGTGGTGGGTATATGGATCATGACACTCTTTCCCTGCAACTTCTGCCCCGCTAGTTGACACCCCTTGGTATCGGGACATACACTAGGTCGTGTACAAAATTGGGCATAGTATGGTTATGACTAAGCCTGTCATTTTGGACCCAACCCGTTAACCTGACCCGACCCAACTCGTTAATATTTGTATTTGGGTGGATGCTTAACGGGTCGGTTCGTTAACGGATGAACCAGTTAAATAACGGGTCATTTTGGGTCAAACCGTTAGACCCGTTAGGATCCGTTAACACCCATTAGCACCCGTTAGTTGAGGATATTTTAGTAATTTTAGTAAAATCTTAATGACAAAAAATAAACTTTATGCAAAAAATAAAAATAAAAATAATTGTTAACGGGTGAAACGGATGACCTGTTAGCTTAACAGGTCGGATTCGGGTGACCCGTTAGCTTAATGGGTTGAATTCGGATGATCTGTTAACTTAACGGGTCAGGTTCAACCCGACCCAAATCCAATAAATCCGACTCGTTTACAAATCTAGTTATGACTCCATTGCTACCTACCTGTAGAAAGTTGGGATCTGCTGCTAACAGTGACTGGAATGGGGCTCCTTAGTTGTGAAAAGGTCAAATTGAGCCATAAATTCGATCAGATTTTCCGAATATAATTGATCGAAAACTTGCAAGTATCTACTGGAAATAGATAAAAAAACACAAACATGAACCTGATTCTCGAAACACCAATCAAGAAATGGGGAAATAGGATTACTTATCAATGTACTTGTCTGAGTGCAGGAAATTTCACCGAATCGTCGAACAGGTTAAAGAAACTAGAGTTAAACGATAGTCAAGACTCGAGATTTTCAAGATTCAACTTCGGTTTTGGAAAGATTTGGGCCATAAGAAACCTAGAACACCAAAATTATGACCTTGGAAGTGGATTCATTCAAAATATAAGCAAGAAATTAAAAGAGAAAACGAGAAATACCTGGAACGAAATGAGTGAATCGCAGATGAAGGGGGTTTATGTTTCTGTTTCTGTTTCTGTTTCGAATCTGGATTTGTGTGTGCGGGGGATTCAAGTGGTTGAGTTGAGTGGGAAGCAAATTCGAATGGTTTCAAAATCTGATATGAGGGCAAAATGGGAAAATTCGTTCATATATCTTTTCGCAACCACAACGGTCAGAAATTTCTTTTCGCACCACAACGGTCAAAAACCTCTTTTTTAAAAGGATAACCTTCTTAAAACAAAATTATTATTCTTCTATTTGTATCATCATTTGTACTATCTTTTTAATATAAATGAGACTCAGATGAGTAATTGTGGTATTGCTCTTCTTAAGGTCATAAAATATTTCGGTCTGAATGTGGACTAGTTATGTATAGAAGTAAACTACATATTGTAATAAGTTACAATTTTTTTGCCCCATTTTAAGAACACACCTCTACATAGTAATAATTGTTGATGAGTTAAAAAATTTGCAATATTTTTCAGTTGCAGAGGCAAGGCTGCTGGTGGCTTTATCATTAGAGATGAAGATCAAATCCCCATTGTTGCGGGTGCAAGAAGTATTGGGGGAAACACAATTTCAGTTGCGGATGCTCTTGTGAGACGTGATGCTCTAAAAGTTAAGGGCTTTAAGAATGTATGTGTGGAGGGAGATTCTAATTACTAGTTTGGTACTGAAGTGATTTTATAAAAAGTATAAAAAAAACTGAGCTAAAAAATGTGTTTGGTAAACATTTAAAAACAGCTCATTTTCACAGTTTTGGGTGAAAAAAAACTGAAAACATGAAGCAACAAAAATGAGTTTATTCTTATAGCACAGCAGAAGTAGTTTTTTTTTTTTTTTTTCAAATCACAGCAATACCAAATCAACCCTAAGCTAATCATTGTGTGGAGGGGAATTCTAAGCTAGTCATTGAAGTGGTTAAATACAGATACAAGACTCCATGGAGAATTCGATCCATTACAAAGGATATTAGAAGCTTGGCGGCTTCCTTTTAGACTATTTCTTGGAACTAGTGTAGGAATTGATATTACTGATAACTATGTTTGGGAACACACTTCGTACGTGTGCCAAACTTGCTTATGCTTTTGATAGAGTTGGAACTGGCTGTAATTGTGGCTTTAGTTATTTTCTGAGAAAAAAAAGGACGAAAATATGTAATATCACAAATAAAAGTTTAAGATGGCCTAAAATATTCTTCTAAAGTTGTTTGGGGCAATGCTTTAGTTTTTATAGTTGATGTCACGTCTTTGTGCTTAGGAGTACATAATACTTTGTCAACATAGACACTTCTTAATCCAAGAATTCAATTTTTCTTACCGTTGGAAATCAAATTATTGAGAACAACCCACGTCGATCACTTTTAGGGGGTTGTGAGTGCGCTACCAAGTGGGCTCCGCCGCTTGCTTTTGGTCGGCTCACTCGCTATCTTTCGCACGTGCCTAACACAAAAGATAATATTACGTGGGTGATGTCAAGTTGACATCACCCTGCCATCAAATCGCCTCAAGCAAGGCCTCTGGCCATTTTAGCCCGACTGCCTGGTAAGCAGGAGTTGGGCCCACAATACTTGGGGCAATTGACATGGCCTGGAGCATATGTGTTGCGGGTTCAATCGCCCATTGGGTAGTGCAATTTGTAGAGATGGAGTTGCTCTAAAGGCCGGAGACCCAGCCTTTGACTTTGAGAGGTCCCCGAAAAATTTCAAGCAATGATTTCAGATCGTTGAGGAGTCCTGAAACCGCTTAGGTCCCCTATAAAACCGCCATTGGCTTTGGATACCGGTTTATAGGAACCAGCAGGGCGTATAAAAAAGCAGGGAAAGAAGATAAAAGAGAAACGAAAAGCCTGTTTCATTTCGTGGAAACCCAATTGACATTGACAAGCAGAGGTATGTAAACCATAAGCTAAGTCTCACACTCAGAGCCGGGCAAGCCGGTCCCCAGCTGAGTCATCCAAATACAAAACACACTAAAGCAACTATTACAATCCAGCTTATTAGTCTAACAAAATGAGCCTTACATGAACCAAAAGCTCAACAATGATAAAATGCATTATTCTGATAAAAGCATGGAAGATTCAAATTCACAGGTTTGCATCTTCTTGAAAGCATTCGTCTAAGACGATTGTGTCTCTGCCGACATAAAGGGATTTCGCGCATGAACCCTTATGGTAATTTTTTTTTATCAGTTCGCAGACTCGTCTTTTCTTCACGAATGAATAACATTAACATCCTGGATCCTCTCCTTTTCTTTGGTAGCATGCCTTTTCACACAACTATACAAACAACGAATACTAATTCAAATGCAACTCACTAACAGAATCACGATATTGGAAACATGAGCAAGGTTCACCGGTGTCACTTTTTGCCTACGTACGGTGCAATATTTCTTAATCTCTTTGCTCAATAAGCAAGTGTTCAAGTTCTTCCCTTCGCCGCTCCAAGTCCTGTGATTGTTGCATACAGGTGAATGAATGTAAGCAAGCTTCCGTGATAGATTAAACATACATAACGTTGACAAGCACAACGTAACATAACTCAAAACAGACTATTTAGAAGTACTATAGATTTTAGCAGAAATCTTATAGTGATTTAAGCCTTTGATGTCACGGGCCTCACAGCTAAAGCTTTATATCCCTATAGTAAGAACCATAAAGAAAAGGAAGCATGATAAGCAAATGGTGAGAACTTACCTCAAGATCCTTTGCTGCTTGCTCCCTTGAAATTTCTTTCTTCTGCCGAGACCGTTTGAGAAAGCCAATGCATAGGATTCCCTTAAAATTCAAATATTAAAGATTAGTAGTTTGAAGGGGCAGAAAATGATGAAGAAAAGGGGCACACTAGACTTTAAGTTACAATTGAAGTTGCAAAGGCAGGGCAAATGGCTCTCAACATATTGATGTAATACTACCCTTGCATGAATTACTCTCAACATATTGATGTAATATATTCAGACTAAAAGATATTGAACAATAACACGATAAATGATTTGCGAGGGATAAAGAAGATATAAAAGTTTAGGGAATACCCATGCATCTCCTACTGCTAGTTAATCATAATTCATGAACCAGAAAACAAGGGCGGCACTATAGATAGCCTAAGTGGAGTCATAGCCCCTCCAGGAACTTTACAATCCCCCTATGGTTGATGTTACACAGCTCATATATATGAAGGGAAAGTTTAAACAACTAGGTGAGTGCCCTTCCACCCCAACACACAATAAATTCCCTGAAGTCATGAATGGGTTAGTTGCTTAGCAACAATTACCCAATCACTCATGGAATTAATCGTGTTCCTAGAAGAGAAACGTTAACCTCGGCTAGCAATAGGAGCCATGCTGAGTCCTAGTTAAAGAAGAATCTTAGTTTTGGTTACAATCGGCTTCATCGAACCAAATAAACATTGGAGGATTCTTCCAATTAAAAGAAGAAACAGACAAAACCACATGCAAACTCACGCACGAGTTTTAAAAATTGTTATAGGATTCGGCTATTTAAACCTACCGAAATAATATAGATCCCACCACAAGCAAGGAGCATATAGCTCGCTATGTCCTCTAGAAGAACTAGATCCTTTTTTGTACTGGAATTGCCAGGAAAAGCTCTTGTCATGACCGCAAGGCTGGTACAAAGAATCACAGCGTCAGAAACCATGTAAAATTTATGCAACAGCCATAAAAGGGACTTGCTTCAGTGTAATACAGGCACACGCTATCCAAATTATGGCACTAAAGCAAGCTTAACTTTAATGTTAGCCCCAACATTATTATACTGTTACAAGGCTAGGCAATATACAGATTGGAACGAATTCAGTCGTGCTCCAAAATCTCGAGATGCAGAAAAATTACTCTATGAGAGTGAAACATGACATTTCTCACTACATCTGCAAACTTACAAGATTTGTAGCATACCCCTACCAGCCCAATACTCCAATAGCTGCAAACAGTTAACACAATATTAAAATTAGATCATGGATGCAAAATTCGGCACCCTAGCACCAATATTTCAGTTAAAGTTTCAAAAAGATAGTTTCTTTGATATTCAGTTTTTATTGGTTCAATATCTTTGGAGTGGAGATAATGATAGCATCTTAGAATACCCCCTTCCATCAGTTGTTGGAGAGAAATGGGGGTCCCGATCATCGTAAATATGTGAGGATCCAATTTGAGAGATCATTTTCATAGACATTTGAGGTTCAAGGAATCCTAAGGGACATGTCTTCTTACACTAAGTTTGGTATCAAAGAGTGAGGAATCAAAGAGTGAGGAAGAGAAAATCAAAGTTCAGAAAGTTGTAAGGTTCTCTTGTGTTTAGTCACATGAAGTACATAAAGCGCAACCCCAAGCCAACAAGGCCCTTGCTTTTGCGGGAGGCGGGGAAACGTCTATCGTACTCAGCTTTACTCTTGCTTTGCAAATAGACCGTTTTCACGGCTCAAAAGGTCACAAAGCAGGGGATGCAACACAAGGACTTCGCAGGAAGTACATGGCAGGAAAATTTGATTAGAAACTACAAAACTTGGTAACATGTTAATGGGTTAAAATCGGTTCAAAATTAATTTCGAATAATCGTAATTTAAATTTCAAAAAAGTGAAAACGAACCTTCCAGAACTTCATAACGAATTCCCATTCCGTCTCGACCACCACCACAATCACTCCAATCACGACGGCGTAACACCGAAATATCCCATCGAAAACCTGCAATTCACAACCACACACACAACCCAATTTGTAACTAACTCCACACTAATGCATAATTCATATATATATATAGAGAGAGAGAGAGAAGAGAGAGAGAAAGTACATCAGATCCATCAGTGAAAGATTGAATGGCAGAGAAGACGTTGACAACGATGCAGAGAATTGCGGTGAGAGCGGTGACGACCCTGAAGCATCTGCAGCAGATCAAGAAAGGGTCGGGTCTCGCTCTCGGTGTGGTTGTACTCGAAACTGGAGACGTTCTCGGTCCTAGGCCGCTTTCTACGTCGGCTCCATTGCTTGTCGACATTTTCTCGCGCTTTCTCAGCTCCGAGAAAATTTACCAACTAATGCAGGTAGTAGCTCATATTTGCGAATCCGAATGCATTGTCGGTTTCTGTCATGGCTATCAGGCTATGGCTTTGGCGCTTTCTCTCTCTCTCTGTGAGCGGGATATTTTCCTTACTTTGACCTGCTGCTTTGATATTTTGTAATATCAAACCGCAACGTGGATCATGGATGGTGGGGTCTGCTTTGATATTTTACAATAGCTCCTTCCTACCCAATCTTTTACGCAATGATATTTTAATAAAACGAAATTTTATTTAAACTCATGTAACATCTTTATACATCTAATTTATTTTATACATCAATTTGATTTTTAATTAAACTATCAATATCTTTTTAAAGCCAAATTTACTACCCTAAATACCCTCACAAACTTAATTCAATATGTAAATTTATATTTACACCAATTTGAAAATTAAAACCCAAAATCAAAGCATTTTATTTTCCTCAAGTCCCACAACTTAATTTTCTTCTCTTTCTTAGTCTTGTTCATAAATATCTCTACCATTCCCTTAAAAAAAACATATCTCTACCAACTTTTTAAATTTTTGCATGTTCATCCTTATCTGATTTCTCCCTTATTCTTGTAGTTATTCACACATGCAGAAATCACTTTCAACATATCAGATCATGCTTTGCCTAAGATGCCTTGGTTGATATTTCACCTTCTAATGTGCTAAACTATGAGCCCCTTTTAGGGTTCTTTAGCCTGTTATGTCATGTTTGGATGTAAATTAATTGAAAAGAATAATTATTTGTCCTGAATAATTCATAAGGTGAGTCATGGAGGATTCAAAAGTTCAAAATCATCATCCACCAATAAAAAAACTTATTTTTCTCTATAAGAGTTGTTATGTTTTAGCTAGAATAAAAGTAGGATAAACACGGAGTGATGGTAGAGTTTAATTATAATGTGTGGGTTTATTGATAAATTTGAGTTTTATTATTAATTTTATTTTGTACTTAATAGTAATTATGCAATAGAATAAAAAAGACAATTAACATTTAAAATTTAAGTTGAGTGTAAAAAGAATTTATATGGATTTAAATAAAAATTTCCCTTTAATAAATCTCCTCCATCTTTTGTAACTAAACTGCCGTTTAATTTCACAATAGGAGATTTATTAAAATTAATATGGACGTCTAACTTGTTTAAGTGATAGACTTTCACGGATGCATTAATTTTTTTTACTGATTATTACATACTCTATAAAATTTCAGACTTTTAATTATATGCTTTTGCAAAAAAGAAAAAAGTTACATGATAGATTTTTGCAGAATTTTAAAAAGTTCAATGCTAGAATTTTTGAAAATTATGTGGCTGCCATGGACTTTTTAATACTAATTTTACTAATAAACATTATTATTTTTAAGTTTTTATTATTGAAATGGTGATCATGACCATGAAAGAGAGGTCTCATGAGGTGGTGGTGGTGACAAAGAGGTCTTACATTGGCATCTCTCAATTTTTTTCCCAATCCGCTTGGACAAAAACTTTACATTCACAGTATTGAGGCTGTATGGAGAAGAGTATTAGAGCATCTCCAATGAAAATCCTAAATAAAGTTCCGACAATAGTATAGTCCCTATATAATGAGAAAAGGCTTTTAATGGGTCAGAATAAAAGTTCTCAAAATATCTTAATATATAGGAATTCATCGAATATCTCAAAGCATTCCTTAAATGTGATAGGGACTCAAAAAGTGAGTCCACCATTGATTTTGAATGAGAAACAAGTCTACAACCTGGGAATGCCTTCTCTTTTTGGTTTTTTTTTCCTTGGTTTTTCTCTTCCAAAGATGGAGATAACTTTTTTGGTTTCTATTAAAAGCAACAACACTGCAACGAAATAAACCATGATTTTTTAATATTTTAATTCCTACATCTAAGAATTGGAGGTCACAAAATTCAATTGTTTTTTCATGCAGAAATTCTAAATTTCTATATTTATGATTCTAAATAAGTGAATTGGTGCATGTCATTTTATAAATTCAAAATATTATTAGAATTCCAAGTTTATTTATCTCATTCAGAGATATGTTACAGACTCAAATATTCCTCTAATTTGACGGTCAGAGTCTATAAATAGAAACTCCCATATAGTATGTCATCAATGTGTAGTGAAATACCTCATGTATTTAAAAATAAATAAAAAATCTTTTGTTTAGATAAAAAAAAAGGAAAAATTACACATAGAGTATACTTTTAATACTTAATTGTATATTGAGACAACACTTTTTAAACATTAGAATGGGAGACAAAAGTTAATACATGTGAAATATGACATCATTGCCTTTTTGTTCTCTAGAGTGTAAGTTACAAAATTATCTTTTATAGTAAAAAAAATATTTTTTTCACAATTTTATCTCTTCATTTATTGCTCCATTCTCTCTTCTTTTTTTTTTTTAAAGAAATATTGATTCCAATTCATCCGGCTCATAAGCTAACTGGGAATTCCACCACCTCATTTTTCACACAACCCACAATTTAAAGAATTATAAAATAAAACATATTGGGGATCACTCCACTATCTCTTCTTCTCCAGGAAACTAAAAGGGTAAAAATCACCACCACCTACATCCAAATGTCCGTCGCTGCCACTCCCAAGATCACCCACTTGATATAGATTCCTTCCACCCAACCACATCATGCCCACCACCATGAACACCCACCCGAAACTCCAATCTTCATATTGAAATATGAATTTGGTACATTGTGCTTCTTTTTCTCTAGTCATGCCAACTGAAATATGATTGGTAAGAGACAACATAATTCTGAAATCAAATAGATTTTGAATAATGTAAATGCAAAATACTTTTTTATTCTTTCAATTTCTTGGAGAAGGAGAAAGGAAGGAGTGGGGCGCAAATCCCAAAATGTTTTTTTTGTTTCTGTAAGCGGTGGGTTGGTGTTAAAAATGAACAAGTGTTAGTTATGGTTGGTGGACTCTAGGTCAGCTAACGAGCCTGGAACCTAGAATAATTTCTCTTTGTTTGGGGGCACTGTTGAAGCAATATGCATTGTTGAGAGATCCAATAAATGGTGTGGTTTTATAGTCACAATTTAAAAGAAACTTTTTCGATGATTGGATTTCTCCTTGGTTGACACTTGTGATCAAAATGGTTGAAATTTGTTTACTTTTCAAGATAATATTGGTTTTTTGTTATTATTTTTTTATGTATTAGTTTGTCCTATGTCGAATTGAATCTCAAATCCACAACTCACTGGCTATAAAATTAAAATAGAAAAAGTAACCAACTTTATTAAATTACTAATATTAAGAACAATACAAGGCTGAGTAGTTTGAAGACAGTAGTTGGTGTCTGGGTGAGTTTTTAAATGGATGACAACAAATGTCCACACATAGGCATGGTGACATATGATAACAACAGGTTGAACTGATTCTGCAAAAGTGGTTGAGGATGAGATAAACTAATTCTACAAGATTGAGGACAAGATGAATTGATCTGCAAAAATGGTGGATGATGGGTTAAATTGATTCTACAAAAATGATCGAGGATGGGTTGAACTGATTCTGCAAAAATGGTCGAGGATATGATGAACTGATTCTGCAAAAATAATCGAGGATGAGTTGAAATGATTCTATAAAAATAGTCAATGAAGGGTTGAATTGAATCTGCAAAAGTGGTCGATGACTGATTGAACTGATTCTGCAAAAATGATCGAAGACATGTTGAACTGATTTTGCACAAATGGTTGAAGACATGTTGAACTGATTCTGCAAAAATAATCGAGAATGAGTTGAACTAATTATGCAAAAATGGTCAATGATGAGTACATATATTAATTTTGTTAGAGTTATGAAGGCTGGTTTCATAAAGGCTTAAGGGTATGGTTGATGTTTTAAAATATTAGTTCCATATTTTTAGGCTAAGCTTTAGTTGTTTTTATGTTTTTGTCTCTCATTGACATGTTTAAAAACTAGTAGAGTTTCTTAAAATATAGTGAAAGTTTTTGTCTCTATATATAAAACTCTCAAAAAAAAAAAAAAACCATTGATTATAATTTCAATATAAAAGAGAAAAATAATGAATACATATTTTTCCAAGGAAAACTAATTAAAAGAGCTTGAAAACTTTGAGTTTTAATGATAAGGACAAAATAAAGGGTAAAATGAATAGTACCAGGATTGACTTTTAGTGTAAAAATGTGGTTTTTCGTTAAAGTGAACAGTACCGAGAGCTTTTCGTTAAAGTTCCCATTTTTCTAGGGAGCTTTAATGAAAATGGCTTCTCTCAACTTTTTATTAACAAAAAACCATCAACTAATTTTATTTAATAAAGAGGGCTTAAATTTTATTAAAAAGAATTTAAGTTTTAATAAAAAAGGGACAAAAGTTTAACATAAAAATAAAAAATAAAAAACAAAATCTGACGCATATGTCACATCACTTAGTCACACATAGTTTTCCTCCATCTCTTTCTCCCTCCATTGTTATTAGCTCCTCTCTCTCTCTCACACACACACACACATATTCTCATCAAATTTCTCTCTTCTTTCACCTCACCCATTCACATCAATTTTATTTTATTTTCTCTCATATCTCATATCACTCTATTCTCACTCCATAAATATTACAATTTTTACTTTTGATTTTATTGTATGTTTATATGACCATTGTTTCATAATTTTTTTGGAACAAACTAAGTAATAATATTACAAGACAAAAAAAATGCTTATTTTAATTTCGAAATAGTGATTTTATCTTTAGTTTGGACAAATTTTTTAAGTTTGTGTCATGTCATGTTAACACTAGTTATTTTTACAACTAAACATTGATTATTTTTAGAATCGAACACTGATTATATTTAGAACTTAACACTAACTATTTCCCAAACCAAATAATGACTAACTCTTAAACCGAACACTAGTACTATCACTATTTCTTAAACTGAATACTAATTATTTCGTAAATTGAATACTGACTATTTCTTAAACTGAACATTAATACTATCACTATTTCGTAAACTAAACATTGACTATTTCTTAAACCGAACACTATTACTATCACTAATTCGTAAACTAGTACTATCACTATTTTGTAAATTAAACACTAACTATTTCTTAAACCGAACACTTTACTATCACCATTTTGTAAACAAAACACTAACTATTTCTTAAACCAAACACTAGTATTATCACTATTTCT